TTCTGGGAATGCATCCAGGCAGTGATGCAAGAATTGCCAAAAGATCTCAGAATGAGGTGTTCCTCCTGTCTTTCGTGATAACTGGACAGCAACTATAAATTCATCAACCACAAAAAATTTATAGATGTTTAACTAATAAAAGAAGTCCTGGTCAAAACAACAGTAAATTAAGGTACATAGAATGAATTAAACTATGGCTGTCAAACACTGTAGCACATTCCAGTCTCTAGGGTATAAAACTACAGTGGAACCTCAATTTAACGAGGTGCAAAGGGACTGGGGAAACTGGTTCATTATATCAAGGGTTCATTTTATCAAGGTTCTGTGGCATTCATTTTGCTGTAACTTTAGCCAGGCTGAAACTGAAGTTTAATGTTCGTTATACTGAGGACTTCATTATAATTATAGAGGTTTGTTAAATCGAGGTTCCACTGTACTATCTTTAAATATTGTCTTCTCCACCTAGAAGGTGGGAGATAAGATACTAAGTCAGGTTAATCCCTAAACTCTTTGAGTGACCAGCATCTAAATTCTCCATATAGTAAATCTGCGAAATCACTCATTAAGATCATAAGAATAAGACTTTGATTGTTAAACAAATTCTCCTTGGCAGCACCTTAGGAAATGTATAGAAAAAAGTATAGAGAATATGCATGCTGATAGAGGGTGCAGAGGGTTAATATATCTTATTAACCAAGCACGAGGGCCGTACTGGGAGAATATTGGTCCGAGGTCTTTACAGTACGGACCGAGTGCAGCAAGGTCTGTACAAAAAAGACCGAGGGCCAATATTCTTCCAGTACGGTCCCGAGCAAGCTTGATTAATAAGAGATTTATTATACGACTGAAGTTTAAAGGGACACAAGTGCAGTATCATTCGGGACCATTCAGGACAGTGCCCGGTCCAATACTGAGAGAATATTGACCGGCAATAGAGCATTTTGATTGGTTGATTTTATTTATTGGCCCACTGACTGCCCGAGTCATGTAATAAAAGGTATTATTACACCCCTGTAGGGAGAAAGGAATTTTGAGGGTTAAACATCTTTCATGACCTGGGGCCTATTTCTCGAAAGTCCCGGTAACTTAACGAGCCCGTAAAGCTGTTCTGTTTTCATTCAAGATGGGGATTTCATAAGTTTTGAAAATGATACAATAAAACTATCAGTTAAAGTAACAAAAAGGACTGGTTTGGGTACCAGAAGCTGCTACCCCTATCCTTTAAATGTTGATTGTAAAACAATTGGCTTCAGACCCGTTTAGTTAGTTACCGGGACTTTCGAGAAACAGGCCCCTGCACACCCCTGGCCAATCACATCTCTTAAACAGGGTTCGACACTAATGGTAGCCAACTTTGAGCCACAATCTACTAGAAATTCAGTTTTGGATAGCGGTTTTCAATTTCTGCTGGCCAGTTTGGCTAGTAAACAAACTGAAATTGTTGTAACATCTAAGATGTCACTAGCCACTTGGCTAGTGAGTTGAGCCCTGTTAACATGTTTGTGTCAGCCAAAGGTATCTCACCTTGATTATAAAAATGTTTACACACACTGTATTTTATAACTACTTCCATGCATTTAACACTACCGTGACTCTGAAGTACATGCATGGAACTAGAGGGGTCTGGGGAATATTGCCAAATAGTCTCAAGGTATTGCATCCTTTTAGGATTCAAATGACAGAGTTAATTATATCTTTCAAAAAAATTGCAGTGGGCTAGGTTTATGACAGCATTTGATCATACAATGTGCAGATCTTAAAGTAATCAAAATGCAAAAGTTTACTCTCATAACAAAATATAAACAGTAAAAAATATAAACAGTACATACCAGCATCAAGATCAGTCAATATGCTATTCACAAACTCACACAAGAGTTTCTTCATTTGGTTTGCTGAAGTGTAGTGTTCTTGGGTACTAAGACTGGATAAAATGGGATTAAAAAAATCAGCTGAGACAGCAAAAATGTTAACTTCATTTCTTTAAAATAGAGAAATACATAGAACAACATTAATTTGCCACATTGCAGTTACTGTATTAAAATGTACAAAGACCATCATAAAGCCTGTACATATATTTTCAATTTAAAACGTAACGGATTAAAGTCGAGTATCACCCTCTTTTTTCCCACACCTACTTTCCTGGGTCTGTACTTTCGACAGTCAGCTTCCAATCAAACGAAATCCTCTATCAAATCACGTTCTGTACTCTTTAAATAAGCTCCCTAGAGTGTCTGGATTTTCATGTCTCTTAATGTAAAGGTAGTGAGTAAAATGGAAACGATCTCCAACTGAAAACCTTATGATTTTTATACAAATCCTCCTTGTCTACCATAGGGAATTCAGAGACATCAGTGTGGAAAAATTGGACACCGATGTTAGGTAACTGGCCAAATCAGCATGCTAAATTAAAAAGCCTGATTCTTACGTACCTTTCGGGATTTCGACTTGCGATTAACGTCGCCATTATGGGCGCGAGTTTCTCGCTCATGGAACTAGAAGTATTCGCCATCCCTAGGTCGTGGATCTTCTTTATTTCTCCTGGCTATTCAATTTTAAGAAGCAATTTGCTACAAACAAATGTATTACGATTCTCCCGCCATATTGCAAAATACCGCCTTAGCACTGGGTAAGACTCGGTCTACTCTCCCAGATTATATTTAGGAAATGTAGGACTGCTTAGCGTGCAAAATGCGTTTGAGGTATGAGAATTGTCGCTCAAATAAGTTTTACTTCAACGCAGCATTCTTGGGATAAAAAAATTCCAAATACATAAAACGTCTATGCGTAAAATTAAACGAAAGGCTTTGAATAGAGAGAAAGCTGTCGACATATGTAGAAATTTCAGTCTGTCGTTGACAAACGACTAACGGAAAAAATTACCCGTTATATCCGTTAGATTACATATGCCTGCTTGGCTTAAGTACCAAGGAAGGAACGAAACCGGGAAGTTAAGGTCAGTAGGATGTAAGGGACTACACTAGTAAGGATTCCATGTCTTTGTACCCTTTAAGATGAAAAAACCAGGACAAAGTTGCAGTCAAGATCAAACACTGAGACAAAGGAACTTACCGCTCGGCCAAGAACATCATTCTATCAGATAACCTAGAACAGAAGCTTATGACCTTGAAGTCTAGGTCAAAAGCTTCTGCGCAGAATTATACCGTCTTACGAGTTAACTCTTAACTCTCGTAACCCAAAAGGCGTCTCTTTCTGATCAAATCGCGAGGATCAATCGCTTTTCATTATTTTGACTAAAGAAGGGTTTCCCTCTGATAAACAATTTCATCCTAAGGATACCTTCTTTAGTTGTATTTTGTTTTATTTTGTTTTAGCTTCGTGAAACAAGGAGCAAATGAGTGTATAAGTGTACGTGCGCTCTATGACTTATTTTTTTATCTATTTTCTAATTGTTTGATTTCTGTTTGTTTTTTGTTTGTTTTTTGTTTTTGTTTTTGTTTTTTTGTTTTTGTTTTTACACTGAGAGTCACTTCCACTGACGTTGTCGAAACGTCAGTCCACTACCGACAACAATCCTTCTCAAGACCGCACCCATCTAGATTATCAGACTACACGAATAAATAATTGTTATGTCAAAAATCTGTGATTAGAATGTATTTATTCGTTACTTTTACTCTAAAATCTCCAATCAAATGTTAAAAATTCATCTCAGTCTCTTATTTTGGTGTACATTTCCAAAGCATTGCGGTTAAAGGAGCTTCTTGTAACTATATAATAGTTATAAGAATACAACCTCGTTCCCAGGGCCTTTTCCCTTAGCTGGGGGTGGGGCGGGTAAATGCCTTTTCCCGCCCCACCCCCGACTCCCCCCCCAACTAAGGGAAAAGGCCCTGGGAAAGAGGTTGATAAGAATAGTTATTAAAATAACAAACAGGATTGTGTTATTACTTATCTGCTGGCATTTTTTGCGTGAAACATTCGATATCTTCAGCATGAAGTTATGTTCTTTCACCTAGACCATCTGATGAAAGAGAATGTTGTTACTTTTTATCCAAACAAGTTTGATTCTCTGGCTATGAAACCTCAGAGCAACAATTGTATCAGTAATTTTGAATAAATTTCACCAAGTAGGAATACAAAACACTTCTTCTTACCTGAGAAACAAAAGTATCTCAGTTTTTACAATATTGCAAAAACGACCTAAAGGCTGGTAGCGAAATAAAAAAATTACCATAATTTTCCGTTCTAACTCTCTCAACTAGATTACATCAAAGAATTAACACCGTTGAAAATTCAACGAGACGTTGACAATGTGCTTGTAGCATTCATGAGTCTCTTTATCCCCAAGGCGTTCACCAAAAGTTGCATTGTGAAATCGTGGATGACGATTTTTTGTCATCCACCGTTTGTTTGTTTGTTTCTTATAGTTTCTAGGCCCACCAAATACAGGAGCACCAAAAGAAACAGCAAATGAGGAAGTCCACAGACAGTTCACCCCTTTGCGCCCTGTTCTTCATTTCTTCCTCGTCTTCCCAGTCATGTTCAACGTGGACCCTTTCCTGACTGCGATCTTTTTGTTTCGGCATGAAATATCGATTGCTCTGCACGCTGGTAACACTTGAAGCAAACACCACAAGCTTCCGTTCTTCCGAGCAAATTAGTTTTCTCGGATTTTTATAGATAGATGTACAGCTACCTCTTAGAATTTGTTACGAATGCGGGCTTCTTCGACAAATAAATATAATGACACCCGCAATCTACCTGTTGCAGATTGCAGACAAACGAAATACAGTAGTCATTCAAGTAAACTTGAAACGTTTCCAAAACGTTTTGCATTATAGTAGCTAAAACGCTCGCTGAAAATGTCAAAATAAAGGTTTCAGTGATATAAACTAGGACGCCAAATTTTTCAATAAACTGAAATTTCTCTAACAATTAACGTAATTACAAAACTTGGCCCGGGTACTCGATATAACTAAAAAAGTGAAACTGGTGGACTATTCAAATATTTTATTTTCATTATTTCTTGTGTATATGATTTATGATGCGTGAAAGGGTGTTAAATTACCTAAACTAATTTGCTTTATTATCCAACTGTGCTTCATAGAGTACAAAATTAATGACTACCAAAACGAATACAAATATGTCGCAGTATTTCTACTCCAGAGAACCGGTTAGACATTCGCCCGCAACAATTTGGTGAATTGGATAAAAAAATCCCGTATTAACCATTTTGTTGCGTGGTATCGCTGAGTACTTTTACTTGTTGTTTGTATTTCGACTCGCCCTACAGGCTCGTCAAAATACGGCACAACTCGTAAAAATAACCCAGCGATACTACACAACAAAATGTTCAATAAGATATATTCATTTGTCCGATGGCCAGCACTCTCTTAAATCATCTCAAGTTAAAAATTGCTTCGATGTCATAAAAAAATGATCATTGTGCAAAACGTGTTCCCTCAAGTATACATCACGAAACGCTTTAAACCGTACAGCCTAACATAAATATTCATATTCTCCACAGCGTTCTATTTACATTACCTCCGATACTGACAAGGTGAATTAGTTTGACCATCAGGATTTTCTCAAATCATTGATCATTTCTTTTATTCTCGTGGCCGCTTTATAGTTGATCAAAGGGTGGTGATACAAAGTGAAATTAGAGGCCAGTCACTCTTGCGGATTAGTTGAGGAATAATTATACTTTTACTTTAATTTGTCTACAACAGACTAACATGACTTCACCTTTACTAAATCTCACGTAATACTGTTTCAATTACTTATCCACTGAGGCGTTCTAACTCTATGCATATCGCAAATCTAAGTCAGACTCGTGACCGAGTCTGGTGCCATGACTGCTCCTGTTGTAGAAATCATCGGCTTGCTCTGGAATAATCTTGAACTTAAAATTAGTCTAGTTTTATATCTAAACTGCTCCTTCATGGTTACTTGAAGATATCTTAACGTTTTGTTATTAGCTAAACATAATTGTAACAGTTTATGTTGCAATCGTCAGTGGTTCGAGTTTCTAAAACTCTATTTTAAAGAAGGCTCACTCCGTTGGCATATGGATGCGATGCAATATAGTGCGTCTTGAGGGCATTCTTTTGATAAAATGCTTTACTGCAAAACTGGCATTGGAAAGGTTTCTTAGGAGCGTGTGTTCTCTTGTGCGTGTTCAAAGTGGAAGCCAGTGTGAATCCTTTCCCACAGATCTGACATTTGAAAGGTCGTTCACCTGTATGGCCATAGATGTGAGCCTGCAAGTTTCCCTTCTGGTTAAAGCCCTTTCCACAGTACTCGCACTGGTACATGCGCATCTCGGAATGGGTTCTCAGATGGTACGTCAAATGTGTCAACTGCTTGAAGCCTCGCCCACACTTGTCACATTTGTGGGGCTTCTCTCCCGTGTGAGTGTAGCGATGGATCTTCATGTCAATTTTCTGGTGGAATCCTTTTCCGCAGAAGTCGCACACAAATGGCTTGTAATTGGTATGTGTGCGCATGTGCGTATGCAAATTAGACGCACGGTTGAAAGCCTTGTTGCACTGCAGGCACACGTACGGTTTCACGGTGGTGTGCGTCAGTCGGTGACGTGTCAGGTTTCCTGGCTGTCTGAAGGCGCGGCCACACTGCTCGCAGATAAACGGTTTGTCTCCAGTGTGGATACGTTTGTGAGTCGTTAAGGTGTTCGAGCGGCTAAAAGATTTGTCGCATACATCACAAGTGTAACGGTACTTCTTGCTTGCGGAACCATTCGGCTTGGTAGGTTTTGGTTGCAAATTCGTCTCTACCTTTTTTGCGGTTTCGCCATTCTGAGGACACTGCTTCAAATCTTCTTCTGAACTTGACGGGAGGAAGGTAGAATACTCAGGAAGACCTACTGCCGCCCTCTCTTGTTTCAAAAATCTACCGAGGTCGCTGACTTCAAGAAACGAAGAAAGTTCGAACTTTCCGTCCAAATTCTCTTCGAGGTAGACACTGAGGTCAGAGTCGTTTTGTGGGACGCTGTGCTCCAAATCTGATTGATGGCGCACCGATTGTTCGTTAAAAAATTCTCGTGCACTGCTTTCAGTAGCATGACCTTCCCAGCCGTTTCTTTCCACTTTTACATCTTGTGAATCATCTTCATCATTTGTGACTTCTTGTTTGATTCTTAAAGTGCTGTTTAACTTCGACCCTCGTACGTCATCAACGATTCCACAGTGAAAGTTTATATCACTGGAGCCATGATCGACCTTTATTGGTGCGTAGAGGTACTGCAAAGCGCTTTGATTTGCTGTGAGGATTCTCTCCTTTGATTGGCGGAACTCAAGATTTAAGGGCTTTTGAAAATGATTTAATTCTAGCCCTCTATCTTTCAGGAAAGGGTCTTGGATGTCAAGTACGTGTGGGTCGTGTATCTCGCTCGCCTTTACTTCAATGTGTGGCAACTTTTCGATGGCTGCTTCTTCTGTACAGATTAAGAAAGGAAATTATGAGTTGTTTCTGTAGGACTATCATGAAGCAAAGGTTCCTACAAATAACTGTACCGAAAAGACAAGAGGGGAAAACCTTGTCCCTCTGTACGTTTTTGCATTTGGGGGAAACCGATAAGGATTTCGAAAGAAAAAGTGTTGCTTCTATTGCTTCAAATAAAATGGAAAGCGTCATTCTTCTGCGGCGAGTTGACTTCGTATGGATATTACCCGGGCCTACAATTTGCCATGAGTCATTTACATCCTAGCATCAGTTTGCATATTCTCCATACTGTGCCCTAGAAATTCCTAAGGTGCTGACAAGGAGAATTTGTTCAACAGTCAAGAGCTTTTCGAGTGGGAGATCATTTCCTTTATACTAGTTACCTTATTGTGTGATTCAGGGGTGATATTGTAAGGAGAAATTAGATGTTGGTCATTCATAGGAGTCAACGTGTTTAAGAAATAGGTAACAAAAGCTGGGCGCGCAATCTGGGAGCATGTTGTGAATGAAAACACACAAGTGTAAAACCCACTTCCGAATAAGGTTTTCTGTTTTCCCTGACAATTTTTCGATGGAAAAGAGCGTTCTTTGTTATTTTTTTCCTTCCAAAAAAATTCGAGGTTTCCTGGGAAAAAAAATACCGCCCTAATGATTTGTACAAAGTTAGAAAACACTAAAGTTCTCACTAACATCACTGAGGATTTCTATAATGGTGAAAGAAGTGAAAGAAATAGCAAGCATGGAGTTCCAGTAATTGATTATATTGTTCACAGGTCGTTTACTTAACCCTTTTTTAACTCCCATGTGTGACAAAGAGAGAATTTCCCCTTACAATATCAGTGCAATAGCAGGCAGACAAACAACGAGAATCATGATAAAGGAAAACATCAATTAGGAGATTTTTTATTAGTTGATACATTACAAGGGCGTAGCAAGGGGGGGTGCCCGTGACC